GTTCAAAATGCAGTTCATTCAAAATTTGCCCTATAAAACACTGAGGAATTAACACTCTCATACACCACAACACACATCCCTGTTCTGCTGATCATTCACATCTCCTTAAGGATGGACAAATCTCTGGCCATCCACTTAGTGTATATTCCAGGACTCTTCCGACCACAACATCTTTCCTAGTTTCATGAGCAATCATTCTAGAGGTGATTGTAAAATCTTCTGCTAACATGGTTACAGCATAAACCTTAGGCTCTACTACATCATTTGATCCACTACATGGCAACCTGGACAAAGCATCTGCATTGGAATGATCCTATGAATGTCTGTACTGTATCTCATAGTCATATGCAGACAATATCACAGCCCATCTCTGCATTCTTGCTGCTGCAAATGTAGGAACAGGTGATTTAGGACCCAAAATTGCCAAGAGAGGCTTGTGACCAGTTACTAAGACAAAATTCCTACCGTATAAATACTGGTGAAATATCTTTACTCCAAATATGATAGACAAAGCCTCTTTCTTTATTTGTGCACAATTTTTCTCGCTTTGGGTAAGAGTTCTCCAGGCATATGCAATGGGTCTTTCTTCACCGTTATCCATTATGTGACTTATGACAGCACCTAATCCATTGCCTGATGCATCACAAGCAAGCTTTAGTGTTCTACTGGTATCATAGTGGACCAAATCACATCAGTACTAGACAGAGCAGCTTTACAATCTTCAAATGACTTCTGAGCTGCACAGTTCCATTTCCATGGAATCCTTTTCTTTAACAGTTCATGCAGAGAGGCTAAAACTGATGAAAGTCCACTCAAGAACCTTGAATAATGCTGTTTCATTCCCAGGAAAGATTTCAATTCACTGACAATTTTGGTAGCAGGTAAATTTACTATGGCTCTTACTGGGCTCAGCCCTTCTGCATTCACTTTGTAGCCAAGATAAGTTACTTCTTAGGTAGGAATGAACATTTGCTCTTGTTGAGCCTGACATTATGTGCCAACAATCTTTCAAATACTGTGGCTAGGGTTTTGACATGATTTTGGATGTCACGGTCAACAATAAGGACATCCTCCTGAAAACATAACACATTGGGAAGACCCACAAGAATTTTGTCCATGATGCACTGAAATAACTTTGGTGCACTTTTAACTCCATAAGGCAACCTTTATGAGTGTTGATGGTAAGATACTGTTGACTTTCAGCATCAACACTGACCTGAGCACATGCCTGGGACAAGTCTAACTTCGGGAAAATGGTTCCACCTGTTAGTGCAGCAAACAAATCTTGAGACGTGGGTAAAGGATACTGCTCGTCCCCAACAGCTTGATTATTGGTAAACTTTATAATCACCACATAATCTAACAGATTTATCAGCTTTAGGTACAATTACTATAGGAGCAGCCCAATTGCTCTTGGCAGTTTTCACAATAATTCCCTCACTCACAAGTCTGTCTAATTCCTTCACCACCTCGCCTATCAATGCATAAGGAACAGGTGTGGCCTTAGCATATATGGGTGTAACATTTTTGTCAATGGTGATATGAGCTTCATAACCCTTTGTACCATCCTGTCCCTAACAAATAAAATCTTGTATTTTTCAACCAATTTCTCAAGACCTGGAACACTGATACACATAACTAGCTACAATTACAGTGATCCCTCGGTTAACGAGCGCCTCGGTAAATGAGATTTCGGTTAATGAGTTACCTTCCACAAGATTCTTAACTTCGGTTAACGAGCACTCCTTCGATTAACGAGTTTCTTACGAGCCGACCTCAACATGTTTTCGCTTGCATTTGGCAGTCCACCAGCTATAGTATTAGTCCGCCAATACAGTAATCGGTTCTAGGGCTTATATTCCTAACTATTTTAGTAAATATCAAGAAGTTTATACTATTCAATAATTTTAAAAGTTTAATATTAAATTTTTTAGTCATTTTAACAATTGAAGGTAAGAAAACTAGTTTTATGTGCGCCATCCAGCCTGTCAACACACCAAACAGGCGCCAGTCTCTCTGTCTTTTCAGTGGAGGAAACATCTTGCTTGAGACTCTTCCACTAAATGCTTTTTCTCTGTGTTTGCAAGCAAATTAATGGTCATTTTGAAATTTATTTTACACATTGACAACATATAATGCAGTGCAGTGTTGATTTCAAGAAAATAATCTTGAATTACACCAAGTGAACTAAAATTTTATGGGTGAAATGGCAGCATGGGGTGACTTCTCTTCCACCCCAATGCCTTCCCTTCTCCCTTCTCCTCCAACCCCATTCTAATTCTCATCATCATTATCATCATCCAGGAGCATTCTACATACACACCTCAAAGTAAGTGTACTTTTCTACCTATTTTTGTTGAATTTAGGCAATTTTCGGTGAGCTCGAACCAATTACCCAAAAACCCATTGAAACAATGGTTTCGGTTAACGAGCAACCTTCTGGAACAGATTGTGCTCGTTAACTATAATGGCAACTTCAAATTCAGATTTTTGTACTTTACCTCACTCTAATTTACCTTCTGTGTTCAAAATCTCTCCAGTATAAGTTCTCAACTTGACACCTGAGTCATCTAAGGGCACATGTGCAAATAGCTTCTCATACATATCTCTACTCATTATGGAGAAATGAGCTGCAGTATCCACTTCCATGGTTACAGGTGAATCATTAATGCACAAGTCCACATTATACCTATGTTTAACCGGCTGCAACTCTATTAATAAACCGTTTATTATCATTATTATTATTTATCATTATCATCCTCAAAATTACTAACACTCATGAATACTGTTTTTCATTTCCTCATCACCTTCATTGACATATACTCTACCTTTATCACTTCTGACAGGGGCAGTAATTTCTTTCTCACAGGCAGGAGCAATATGTCCAATACGCTGACAATTGTAACATCTTGAAATTTTTAACTTACACTTGAGGCTTTCATGTTTCCTTAGGCATTGAAGGTTCCAAGTGTTCCCTGAAGAAGGCATTGATGGGTAGGGAAACACCGGGTAACACTGAAGTCCATTTATTAACGGATAGGAGAAATACTTGCGTGTGCCATGCACAGCCCACAGAGTCAGACTGAGGCTGCCTTGCCATATGGCAGCCTCGGGGCAATGTTGCCACATAACATGTGCAGTGTTGCCACGTAATTACATATATAAATGCTACTCGGCACAGTAGCTTATTTACAAGGTTGCTACTCGGCAGGGTAGCATAGATACATATCCTACAGGCATCTCATACATTTTAAATCAGCATGTGTTCCTTGTTTTGTGGCATAATTATTTCTTTTAGCTACAGTTACTTTACACACTGAGCCACTATTGCCAACTGTTTCACTACCGGTATTGGGAACAAATTCTCTGGTGTTTTTCTCTGCTAATTTCATGCTTGTAGCTATCTGACATGCTTTTTCAAAAGTTAAGTTAGTGGTGTTCATTAACTTATTCAGTATAGTTTCATATTCAGACCTATCACAAACCTGTCTCTTAGAGCTCGGTTCAAGAACTGTTCAATGTTACAGTGAATGGATAATTTCTTCAAAGCAACTATATCATCACTTACTGATTCATCTTTCCCTCTATCTCTTGTGCCAAATTTGTAACTTTCAGCAATCTCAAGTGGAACAGGATCAAAATGTTGCTTCAGAATCTTGGTAAACTGAATCAGTGAGGAGTCTTTGGGTTTGTCTGGAGGAAGCAGATTGACCAGAGTAGAATAAACATTAGCTCCTACCTCTGTCAAAGAGATTGCTTTCCTTTACTCTTCAATGGCCTTCTTCTTCTGAGCATCACCACCTTAGTCCATTAAGTCAATTGCCAGATAGAAGACTATTCTCTCAATCCACTGACGCAAGCCATGGTTGCTCTCTTCACTCAAATTCTCCAGGTTCAGTGTAGCCTTTCCTTCAGTGGTCACTATCTTCTCTTGAAGGACTTAACCAACACTTTGTGAATTCCATCTTCGTCACCAGTGTAGTATCTTACATGATTTAATGGGAGAATGAGAAGCCACATGCTGACTCTTACTCAGATGGTTCATTGTTGTTGTTTTCCTTACAACATACTCGTGATTACACAGGCCTAAACACATTGTAACTTCAGTAAGAAGTAACATAATATATAATGTATATATAATCAATAAAGGCAGCATATAAACATACACATATATAACATAATGCTCTCATATCTGGGGTGGTTCTTCTATCCAACTGTTAGCTAGGGTGGATTCAAAGGCATTTTGTATCTCCAATTTGAGAAAAGATGGTCATCTATACTCACCCTTCCATTTTTTGTCATCCACAAATACTACTGTACAATGTACTGTACTTCATAATTTTGGACACAAGCATTTTCATGCTTTTAAAATATTGCAACTCTTTTCTATATTTTGTATTCAGAAAGAAATTACACAATTGTGACAAAATACAGCCATTTCATTTTCCACCTCCATCCTCTTGCACAACCCCTCACCAGCCTTTTCTATACATTACACCCTTAGAAAATTTGCCAAATTACTATACAGTACCTGCCCCCATAATTGCCATACTATACAGTATTCCTATACTCTTCATAATTTATGCAATATCTATATAAAATTCTCGTATCTTTCTCCATAATTATTCTCAAGTAACACAGCTACATAAAGTTTTTTCACTTTCTTATTTTCTCAATTTTATAATTAACCCTTCTCTCAAAAAAACCCTTGCTTTTATTCAATGATATTCATATTCAAAGCCTAAAATTCAAGAACTGTGTCCTATATACTTTGCTTAAGCTAACAAGTACTGTAAATCGTATTCACAGACATGTACTGTACTTTACAACTACTGTATGTAATGAATCACCACCCACATTGTAAAATTTTTCTCCATTCTTTATAGTGTTCATTTCTGCATAGGTGTAAACTAATATCTTAAGGTCCTTCCATACAATAAATACTTTTTATATACTGTAACTAATTTATAGGATCATCAATAGGGAATTAAAACCATTAGTTTGAGGTTTATTTTTAATTCATGGTCGCTCATACACACCATATATATTTATTAAGGCACTTTGACATCTATCTTGTGACCTTCAGACTTGTCAATACATGCAAATGTGCATTATTCTTTGCATGAGACCTCACTATTTGTATTACATTACTTAGCTACCTATCTCTTAGGCTTTCATAATAACAAAATCAGGCTAAAAATATAATGTACATGCATCCAATAACTAAGAGGTGAAATCCATGTGCTCATTAGACTCGATTGGACTTCAAATACACAAAATACCTTAAATATTACCTATCACAACTACCCTAACAAAGTAAGTAGAAAAAATATTTTCAAACAAGTCATCTACTACAATAATTGGTCCCTCTAATCCAGTACTGCACTGCAAGGCACCATACCATGACACACAGGTAACAGGAACTATCGTTCAGAAATGAAAGAGCTAGGTGACTAGACTGGCAAATGGCTATCCTGAAAAAAAAAACTGCTCGCCTTTATCCATAGAATAGAATTTATGATGCGAGTATTGAGATATGTTATCCAGGACTCTCACAGGCCAATCTAATAAAAGTACTTATTAATGAATGAAAGTGGAAGACATAGCTGCAAAAGAACCCAGAAAGCAATGACATGTTCCCTAACCGATTCATCCTTCTGCTCCCCCAATCCTTAAATTTGCTTTTTAATACTAATCAGATACTTAAAAAATAAAGATAGTTCCAGTTTTGTTCATTAAACACAAGGAGAAAAATAAATACTAACATGAGAAATTAACAATAATGAACACTGATACTGATATTCACTCTGAAATTTAAACATAAACATACAATACACAGCTACAAAGTTGGAGTAAGGTGTTAATACAAATGTATAGCAAGACATCTATATACATGTTATTAATTAATATAAAAGACAAACAGATTTGAGCTTTCACATATTTAAAACCTTATCCTTGTGATGACTGCATATGGTATAACAAAGCTACTTGTGCACCAATGAGTATTTTAAATACTGTAATATGCACCATTTGTTAAAAAAAATATCTGATAAGAACATTTAAGAAAACCCATACCCTCTGCCACAATAAAATCCACATAATAAAACATGAGCAAATTTGGCATCCTTGTATAAATCCATGAAGGGGTTATCTTGGGGGAGTCCTGATGTTCAGTTGGTGGTCCCCTGTCATGGTCAGTTACTTTACTCAAGTAGGAAAAAAAAATAAATAAATAGTTTCTAGCTGTAGGCTTAATGGGTGTGCCTAATCTGATAATCCAGGCAGGAATCCTTTAGACAGGGCCCTTTCCTTGAAGCTTGTTGGCCAAGTCAGTAATGAACTCTTTGTAGATCAGAGGATCCATGTTCTTTGCTGTGAGAAATAAGTACAAATTCATTAGATTTCATTGAAGTACAAAAATCTCACACCTTTAACCTAAAAAATATATCTGATCAATTACACACTTTAAAAAGAAAAATGCTATACTGCATTCAATAAAAATTAAGAGAAACTTACCTAACTGATACAGAACAAACCAGTCACCAATCTGGCACTTGCGGGAGATAGCTTCCACATTATCGGAAGATGCAAGGCGGGAGCGAGTCCTAAGAAGGATCTGTCTAAATGCTGGGGTGAAGGTGGCCAAGCGGTAAAGAAGACCAACCCCAGATATCACAGCTACAATGATGAACCTGGAGAGAAAATAACTTTAAAATCCCTAATAAATACATCTCTCTCTTAAAAGGTTTTTGAATAACAATTAAAAAACAGGATAAAATAAACTTAGCAAACATACCAGAACCAGAGGAAAATGTAGATCTTTTCATTGAAGATATTGAGAGGTAGGACACAAAGCCCATCATGTCTTTCAATTGTGCCTGAGGCACCATACTTGTGGAAGGTGCACTTTGCCACCTTGGGGAATACTTCATCCATTGGGTCGTGACGGGAGCCAAACTCTTGTTCACTAAACTCAATGACACGAGTGCCATACGTTGTGAACTCATAGCCCAAGAACCTTGGTGGAAAAAATAAATAAAAAATCGATACACAAACTCAAAAGTACTTAAAGTACCAGAAAGTATTAATCAAATATAAAGAACAATATATGAACAATGAATTTCCCAAATAGCTACTGTGCAAAATACTGTATACCATTTTACTTAATACTTCATGCCCACTTTTCACAATAAAAGAAAGGTAGCTCAAATTAAGAGTGGGTGTTTGTTATGCTACAGTGCAGTACACTGTATCTGGGATTTTGGATACAACAGATTCTTTAACCAAATGCACACCCTAGGACTAAAGTTGTTGATAGCTGTACAGAACCTACTGTACACTAGTGACCTGGCAATGTGAAAATATTTAACTGCAATAGGGGTACTTAATCACCTATTTTATTTTAACCCTCTCGCGCACGAGATAAATTTCAAGTTTTCCAGTTCCAAGATCACATCTCTGAGGCCCCCAGGGTAGGTGAGACAGTGCATGATGAATACTTTTTTTTGCTTTACTAATTTCCCCAAAAAACTTGCTTTTTATGGCATAAACCATATACTATATCTTTGGCTTCGTAATCAATTTCTCGGCAACATGATTAAAATAAATAAATAAAATTAATTAATAATACAAGTACAGTACAAAGCTATTTTTAGTCACTTCTAAGAAACATGAGAAAAAAATACACAGCAATACGTTCACAACCTCCTAGCTCAAAATTGTCTGAGCCAACTGGTTAAGTACTATACATTGCTAGAAGTGGAATTTTATGAGCTTTCCATAGCAGTAATCAAGTTTCTGATAGGACCAATAGTTTTTGAGAAAATACAAATTGATTCTCAAATTATTATTCTTTGTGCCTATATTGATGTAAATTATATTGCATCTTGTAGCCAACACTATAACAAAGAGAATGGTACTGATAAAATTTATGTACGTCTAGAAAATCATCCTCTTTCAGGGACTTTGTTCGAGACATTGTCACTATGACGAGGTTGTATAGCCTGATACTGTAACGGCTTTTGAAAACTAAACACTTTCCTTGTAAATATGGAAAAAAATTACATTACACAACTATCACTTCACTAATCCAGTAGTTGAGGCAGCCCGCACAGAGTTATGGAAATTTAAATGGACGTGGCTCACACTCACGGTCTGACTGCCAATTTGTTTATTGATGGAACTTTCTTACTAACATGACGCATAAAATTTTGATGCAATTCTGCTGAAAACTTAATTTTTGGCAATTTTTTACAGTTTAGATTCGATTTGCGTCACTAAATTTTATTTCTAAACTTATTAGTCTTATTTTATTTATATCATATTATAGTTTTACCTTATGATTTTCTTCATTGCAAGAGATCACAAATAGGTTCCATGCAGCTGTCCATAACTTTATTCCTAGGACCTGGAGTGTACCACATAGTACTGGTATTGTACCCGTGTGGAAAAAAAATATGCACTCTATACAGATACCATACCAAATAGAGTACAGTATTCTCATCAATTATGCACTCCATTTCTTGAAATCAGTGATTTGTTCAAATAATGTAATTCCCAAGCAAGTCACATACCTGTCTGTAAAATAAATTTGGCCAATGACATTAATGAAGTTCAGAAGTTCACAGAGGAAGAATCTAAATGCGTAGAAATTGTGGTTGTGTAGATTGACGCTAAAGTAATCCACCAACATGGCCTTGCGTTCCCGTTTGACATCGTCATCCAGGATGGGCGAATTAAGCTGCATAACAAGCATCTTCACCTTGCCACCCTCCCAGATTTTCCATAGATACCGGGGAATGTAGAACATAATGGCCTGGAAAAAAGGCACAATTAACATGTCTTAATTAATGTACTGCTACTGGAACACATGGAATAAAACCTATCCAAGTAATGTTGGTTTGTGGAGTTCCTACAAAACCCAACACAAATGCATTATAGACAGGATGGGTTATTTGTATTTCTTCCAAGAAGGAGTCGGAAATTATTGTTCAAATAATAACTTAAAGCTACACTTTGGCATCATATGGGCAGACTACAACAACACCTGCCTCTCCTGGCAACAACACAGCAGTCCCGGCCGTCTCCTAACTCAACTACTTCTGGGTCTCCTCCCTGTCTCTACTCTGACGCTGTCAGGCCTTGTGCTCCGAACGGTGCCCCCCCACAACCCCCCGCCAGTGACATGGCACAGATCATATCCCTCTTCCAAGAATTTACCAACCGTATTGAATAACTCTTCGCTACACTCTGTACCACCATCTCCGACCTACTCTTGCCATCTGTTGCCACCCAGTCACTCCTCTCTTCTGGTTTGACACAAGCTGGTAGTCCCCCTGTGAGCCCCCCCCTGCTCACGGCCTACTCCACCGCCGGCAGCCTTCACTACTGGTGTAGTGCCTACCGGGCCTGCCCTGGTGTGTCCTGCTGCCCCAGAGCGATGTCCTGCCCCATCTTCACGACACTTGGTGCCTCAAACTGTCCTCCACCCACCGCAAGCCGCGCCCACTCCTGTGTCTGAGCTGTCTCCACCAGGGCTATCTGGAGCTGAGGACACCATCCCCGGCTACCTGTACCCCACCGACATGTCGACGCACACACCATCACAATTACACTAAAAGGTGTGTCCCTCAATGTTGTCAATGTCTATGTGCCTCCCTCCACCCCTACTGTACCTGCCCCACCACACCATATCACCTCCACCACCCCCACGCCTAGTACATTGGCATCCCTGAGCCTGGCCGCACTGTTTGTAAACTTTGTGGTCAACCGACTCTCACACCCTCTTTCACCACATCCTCATTTGCCCTATGACCTCCTCCTACAGGTCCCCAGTCGTTACCAACACCTCTTCCCTCCCTGACCAGATATCCCTCCTCCTAGTGACAGGCCTGGCACTTGACATTATTAGGGACCTGCCATGCTTTACCATGAACAGATTAATTGTACCGGGAATTTCCTCCCACACACACTCATCATTCTGTCACTTTATGTAACTTACTGACAAAACCCTTGACCCTTCAGGCCTTGACGCCCTTAGTGCACGAGTCATAAAGGTAAGCATGAACTCAGCATGCTTCCCAGTTGGGCACTGTAAACGCTTCTGCGCTTCACCTTGCACAGGATGTAAGGGGGTGCCCAATAAACTAGCCCCCACGTGGGCAATCTGTAAAAAAAATCTGTAATCTGTTTTGGGTAGAGAACCTCCAATAGTGACGTCATCGAGAGCAGCGACATCTGGACGACTACGTCATACACCCAGCCCAGCTGAGCAGATGTAAACAAGAGGATTTCTCCAAGACACTACAATCAACTCTACGGTATTAGGTATTTCACAAACAATCATTAAGTATATATACACATAATATATATAATTTAAAACATATCTTCACACGGTAGACATCGTGATAGATTATTAATTATAAAGTGCCTTGTAACAATTAATGGAAAAATAACATACAATTAATTATCACTAAAATTACATTTCACATTACCTTATTGTGAATGGATTGGCAAAGTTATTAAACATTTAAATCTAAGAAACATTTGTGGATCATTCATATATTGTTAACGATCAACTTAATGAAAACTTAGATAATAATTCAAGTGACACTGTTAACACTGACACATGTGAACTCGAAGGTGCGCATGAATTACAAGTCATTGAACCTGAACTAACAGTAAACACTTCCATAGAAGTTAGTGAAGCAGTCATATATAAAACAAATAACGAATTATTATTTACACAACTTAGGTCAGGACGTTCTTACGACACTACACCTCTGCATAGTAACCTACCTCTGACAGTGTATTGACATCTTCTTATCAATGCACGAGTAATTTACCAGCATTGCCATTAACTAGTAAACCCATAACCACTAACATGACTAACCCAGTGACGCAAGCAACTAATGTGTGGAAAATATTACCACAGCATGATCGGATTCGAGCCTTCACAGGGGAAGAACCTAACTATAATGTATTCGCATTTCTCCGAGCACGTGAGGATGCGACGAGACATGACATAATGTCCAAGATGACGAGGATCGTAAAGCATTTATCCGTGGTCACATTAAACCAGTGTTTCACGCAAGTAACCTAATGAATGCTTCAGCCTTTACTAGATCAACATATGACGAGTTCAAAAGAAATTTGATACGATTTTTTGATCAGGGAGATGACAGCCATCTCACATGGGTTTTTAGAATGGTAAGCAGAACATTAACGCGAATCCAAGCACAGGATCTCTTCATGGCACAGTCTATGGCGGGACAGGCTTATGACGAAACGAAAACACACTAATTTATGCTCTAGAATCAGGTGAGGAGGACAATCTACCAAAGTTACCTCTTCCGTTCAAACAGTTTGAACTGCAACAAGACATACTGCACCGTACAACAAAAACAGTGCAGGATACTGTCACACAAATTGTCGGACCTGACAACCTACGAGACATGGTACTCACTCTGTACCACAATACACCTCAAGCAGGCCATCCAGGGCGTGACAAATGCCTTGCAGAAATAAGAAAATCTTACTATTGGAGTACAATGAAAAGGGACATCGAGCGACACATTGCTAATTGTTTATCTTGTGCTCAACACAAGGGAACTACGATGCACCCTGCTCCAATTCTCGAATACCCGACACCCGAATGTCCATTCAAAACAGTCGCAATCGACTTATTGCAACTGCCAAAAAGCCATCAAGGCTCTACCTACATACTTGTGTGTGTTGATCACTTCTCCAGATTCGTGATTCTAGTCCCCTTGGAATATAAATCCGTGGAGACTGTGGCACACGCTTTAGTGAAGCATCTCATATGTCCGTTCACTACACCTAAGGTTATTCTATCCAACAACGGATCAGAATTTAAGAATCAACTTCTTGAAACCATATGCCAACAATACGGCATTCAACAAAGCTTCACAGCAGCTTATCACCCACAATCAAATGGCCTAGTTGAGCAGCCCAATCACAAAAACCTAGAGATTCTCAGACATATAGTGAATACAATGCAGGTAGCATGGGCGGATTGGTTACCTCAAGAAGCAGCGTCAATAAATAGCTTCACAGGCAAAGCACCCTACTATATCATATATGGGGCCGATAAAAGGTGACCCTATGACATACTTACAGGACCTACACAACCTGTATATAACATGGATGATTATGCAAAGAAGCAAATCAATACCTTCACTGACATCCATGAAAAAGTGCGTAAACAATTAGCAGCATCGCGCGCTGAAATGATTTACACACAACATAAACATGCTAGGCCTATCAAGCTTCAAATAGGCGACGCTGTCATAATAAGAGAACCTGAAAGAATCTCTAAACTTTTGCCGACATTTTCAGGACCCTTCCTGATAATTGCCAAAGAGCGCGGTAGCAAATTCAAAATACTTAAACCAGATACTCAAATTACCGACATAGTACACGTGGATAGATTAAAAAAGGTGAGCTCTGACTTGCTTCCCACCATTGTACACGACGTTCCTACAGTAGACTCTACGTCTGCACAAAATAAAAACAAAAACGCCCAAGTCGTACCTACGCAGGTCGTAGACACTACAAATACACAAGCTGTATCCAATGAGTATCGCATGAAACTACGTTCTGCATGTACAGATTAAGCGTAGATAGATGCACGTCTGTATACTACAAGCTCAGAAATGTGATGTTATATAACACAAGCTGTTATTAATCTCCTTGACGCTTTGCAGATAGCCAAGAGAGATCTGTAATTAACCCCTATCTATGATGTTATTCTTGTATGCATATCCTATTGTTTTCTACTTCTAAGTTAAACGACCCATGTTTCACCGGCATGTCGCGGGAGCCGACCCTATATATATATAGTACTCCACCAGCAGACGGAGTTCAGTTCAGTCCAGTCCTCTTGCCATTCAGTTCACGTTCTTTTGAGTGACACCCGTAACCTGTTACTTATACTTCATTTTATTTCTGTGTTGTTCCTGTCGCCACCAATGTGGATTATCTATGTGAGTACCTATTCATGTCTCTTATGTGTTCATCAGTGCTTGCTTAGTTACATTTAAGTAATTCAGTGTTGTTTCACGATAGTTAATTTTAGTGTTAGTTATTTTATGCTTATGCAGTGGTTACGTAATCCTGTTTCGATGATTTAGTATCATTTCTGTCTTAAAGGTTTCGATAGCGAATTAATTTGTTGTGACAGCCTACGAGGCTCTTTATCGTGTTAGTATTTAATTTAATTAAATGCTTAAAGGTTGACTTTATTAATTTTTATCCCCTTTTGATTTACTTCAGTTTTTTTTTGTTTGGTTATGCCTAGAACCTGGATATTAAAGTAAATTAAGAGACGGCGTATATAGGTATATAGAACAAAAGTCAAGGACAAAGTTGGGCCTTTAAAGTCAGGGAGGGGAGAAGTGATAAATGGCAGTGAGGAAATAAGCAAAGCATTGAACAGCTAATTATCAGTTTTTACAGAAGAAATTTGCGAGTAAATTCCAGAGATGGAACTGATATTTAGAGGAAAGGAAGAAGAGACATTAAAGAATATCACTATCAGAAAAGAGGACGTTCTTAAGAGGATAAATAAACTAAAGAAGACAAAATCTCCAGGGCTGGACGAAATTTTCCCTGAGTCTTGAAAGAGTGTAGGGAACAGATTAGCGGACCCCTTGTAAATTTATTTACAAAATTATTAGACACCGGAGTTGTGCCAGACTTGTGGAAACATGCAAATGTAGTACCCATAATCAAAAAGAGAGACAGAGCATCAGCGTCAAATTACAGGCCGATCATTTTGACGTCAGTAGTGGCGAA